ATTTGTATGAATTGACATAAGTTAAAAGTATGCAGAAGAACATATTTTACACAATGATCTCAAAAATGTAAAGGAAAACATCATTGAAAAGCTTCAAAACTAATCAATGTAGGAACCACTCATGACTTCAGAGGACTGATGAGGAAGGATACTTTTAGCTGCTCAGCATACATTTTCAGACATGGCTAATCTTTCTTAATTATACTTGCTTGTTAAAGAAAGCATTCTATTGGGAAATGGAATGATGGAAATGACAGTGAGACAGAGAAAATAATACCAGGGAAAAAATTTGAAAAGGAAAACTATGAGTAATAGTTGGAGATTATAAAGCATATTGTACCAGATAATTAGTTTAATAGCAATTAAAATAAAACTCATGGCAGAGGGCCACTTGTCAATTTCACCTTGTCACAAATGTTCCTGATGTTCTTTGTGTCTGAAATAAAAACGTGTCACTAACAAGGGAAGATATAAACAAAAAAATGGAGGGGGGCTGACTGCACAAGATAACCTCTATGCTCCATTTCAGTTCTAAATCTATGGTCATCTATGACCTCTGCCTATATACTCTCTATATACACTGTAACTCTCTGGAGGAAGGTCTCTAAAGGAATGCCACGGTGCTTTGTTCTTGGACCTATAAAATTGAACACTGTTATCAGTGACTTAGAGGAAAACTAGATGATAGTTGAAAACCATTCCAGTTCTAAATCCAAGGATTTTATAGAAAGTGCTAGGGTTATGAGTTAGAGGGGTGAAGAAAGGAGAGGAAGTAGAAATAGCCAATGTAGACAACCTTTGCAAGGAGTTTGGCTAAGAATGGGCAGAGAGGTATAGGGCAATAGTTTGAGGAGATAATGGGGTCCAGTGAAGGTTTTTCAAAGATGGGAGAGTTGGGCATGTTTGAAGGCAGGAAGGAAGGAATCAGTTGATAGGAAGAAGTTGAATATTGGGAGGGGATGACTGAAATGCAATGTGTTGGAGAAGACAGGGGGAATTGAGATCCAGCTCAGATGTAGAGGCTTTGGCCTTGGCAAAGAGAAGGGCCACTCCTTCATCAGAGACTGAGTAATGGAGGGGAGAGCAAGAGATCATCTCCTCAGATGAAAGGGGGTGAAGGAGAGAGACCAGCAAAGATGGTGGAGAAGCAAAAAGAAATACAGCCACGCTCTTGCCCACAATCCACAAAGATCTTGAAAACATCTCAGACCAAGTCTTGCTTAGGAAATCCAAGGGAAAAAAATCACAGGGCATCATTTTTTTTCCAGCCCACACCTATATAGCGAAATAGACAGAGAGGACTGTGGACAGTGAGGATGAGGTCTAGCCAGGAACAGCCTCTCTGAGCCTTCCAGCACAGGAACCAAGCAAGCATCTGCCTGCTTTATGTAGTGAACAAGGGCAAGCAGAGGCCGCAGATTGGGCACAGATTAGCCTGACTTCACGCAAAGGGCAGGAACAGAACTGGCAGCTCTACCCAGTGCTCACTTGGAGATTCTGTGCAGACTGAGGAGGGGACCTGAACCTAGGGGCATTGGTCCAGGGCAAGGAGAAGGCATAGGCCCTAGGCTGTGTCCTGAGTGAGCTGCAGATACAAAGCCTGGAGGACCCTGACCCCAACCCTAGCCCTACCACAAAGGCAGAGGGAAGAATAAGAGGGAGGGTAGATTAAGGGAAGGACTCACCCTAAGCAAAACAAACTCTAATCATAGAAGAAAGATCACAAAGAGGGGCTTAAAAGGAAAGAAAGAATAAGAACTGGTCATTGGGCTCTGGTTGAGGGAAAGAGAATAGGGGCAGGGGTGCAGAAGCAAATTGTATCCAACTTAGTACACTAGTTGCCACCCTTTTCTGCTTTCTAAAGAAGGGGCAGGAAACTCTTCCACATTCCAGTGGGCTCAGAATGAGACATTCTACCCACCTCCTGAGATAAAAGTAATAGACACAGGGTGCAGAGTGAGACCATTCCTCAGACGGCACTCTATATCTCCTATCTCCCACCTCTGCAGCTTTGCACAATGTCTGCCATCCCCAAAATGTGCTCTCTTCTCACTTACATCTCTTAGAATTCCTAGGATGGCTCCTCGTTATTCATTTCCTTTTCCTTTATCCTCCCAAGGCCTGCCTGCTTTCTATCTCATGGCCATTGCTTTTAACCGGTGTTTACACTAATAGCTAATAATAATGATAATCTCTAGCACTTACGTAGCACTTTAATGTTTACAAAGCACTTTACATGTTACCTCATTTGATTTCCACCACAATCCTGTGAGGTAAGATGTCATTTTACGGATGAGGAAACTGAGGAGGGGAGAGTTAAATGACTTGCCTAGTTCCAGCTAGTAAGAGCTTGAAGCAAGATTTGAACTCGGGCTTTCTGATTCCAAATTCAGCCCTCTATCCACTATACCACCTAGCTGCTTTTATTTTCTTCCTGACCTACTTTGACAGAAATTGAGCATTTTTCCTCCTATTGTTCTGTCTCTGAAAAAGGAATGCAGTCATTTTTTTAGTTTTCCAAGGTTTTTCAACGCTTGTCATAAGAAAGTAGGAAGTCTTCTTACTGAGCTTCCTATTATCACACCTCCTTTCTTTTGTTCCACTGTGGCCCTATGGGAAGAGATAAGATGACAGACAAAGAGCACTCTCTGTTCCAGTCAAACTGACCTGGCCAGCTGTTCCCTGGCACGCACATAGCTCTCCTCCTACCCCAATGCCTTGGCACAAGTGGTCCCCTTAGGCCAGAAAACACTGTCTCTTCTCCTTGCCTTACTTAGTAGAGTCCCTCTGTCTTTCATGGCTCAACCATAACTTTTACTGATCTCATTATTAATTGCTCTTTCTGCCTCTTAAAATTATATTGAATTATAATTTGTATATGCTTTTTATTTACTTATTTGTATGTGAGTTTTATCCCACCACCACCCCCTATGGAAGGTAAGCTTCCTGAGAGCAGGGCCTGATCCATTTTAATCTTTGTACTGTACATCCCTGGTGCCTAGCACAGTGTCTTGCAGATATTAGGTGATTAATAAATTCTTGTTAATATATGTCTTACGCATAGTGGGAGCTTAATAAGTGCTTGAATTGAAATGAATATAGATGCTAATGACAGGTGCTTGAGTGTACAAAGGACTGAAGCAAGATTCACACACATTCCCAAGGAAAACCAAACTTGGGCTTATCCTGGGAATATCATCACAGGAAACTGAGAGAGTGAATCTCTGGGGTAAAGAGAAGACAAGAGCCTAGAGAGACAGGAAATTAGGACAAGCAGTGAGGACTCATGGCACCGGGACTGGGGGAACAGCAGCAGTGGAAGGAGGAAGGGAAAGGAGATGAACAAAATTTACTCTCCATCCTCCTTCTTGCCACTGAAATCTTGCCTTTACTAGACCTAGTGAAAGGTAAGAAGCATGTATGAAATGGAGGCTTGGCGGTGGGGGGACAGCAGAAGGCAATGGAGGAGAGCAGGGAAGGAGAAGGGGAGGGAAATCACAAACACTGACAGTGTGGAAAAAAGAAAGGTTTCCATGACCTAAGTACGGCTCATCTGCTCAAAGGGCGTGGTGGAAGGCTGCTTTGTAGGTAAGGAATAGAATAACATTTAGTAAGAGCCTAATAGATAAGTTGTGGGCAGCTAGGTGGCACCATAGTGCATAGAGCGCTGGACCTGGAATCAGGAAGACATCTTTCTGAGTTCAAATCTGGCCTCAGACACTTCCTAGCTGTGTGACCCTGGGCAAGTCATTTAACTCTGTTTGCCTCAGTTTCCTCATCTGTAAAAGGAGATGGAGAAAGAAATGGTAAACCACTCCAGTATCTTTGCCAAGAAAACCTCGAATGGGGTCACAAAGAGTCAAACATGACTGAACAATAAATTGATAAGCTATATAAGGAAGAAATAAAAAAAATTGAGCCTCCTGACATCAGGATAAACAATCTCTTAAAGTGTTGAACTCCCAGTCACTGAAAGGGTTTAAATAAGGGCCAGATGTTCATCCATAAGAGATGTAGGAGCAAGTTCTAACCTCCCTTCTAGCTTCAAGATTTCATAAAACTATGAAATACATTTTATCTTGGATTCCTTTTATTTGTAGTGTGAACAGATACTAAAATGTTACATGATTAAAGACAAGGTATTCCAATACTTGTCAGTCATTCATCTCATAAATCTGTGCCCTCGTGGCAAATAGAATATTTAATATTGATATCATAATGTGGTAAATTGAATATAAAATTAATGAGCTTTATTTTGATTGTAAACTCTATGTACTCTTTGGAAACTAATGAACTAAATAATAACCAAACAGGAAACTAGTTATATCTGCCTATCTAGATCTTGGCTCAGAATGGACTCCATTTACACCTATCTTCCCCTCCTGTCCATCCCAACCCCACCCCTGCCCACTTTCCTAGTCACTCAGATCCCAACTCTGCAACTTTTAACCCTCCTGTTCTACTACCTCCCACCACATACCCCCTAAAAATAAGAAAGTGCAATATTTATCAAATTTTAAGACTATTTTACATTTTATCAAAATAGACTTGCCTTACAAACAATATCTTCTTTGTAGAGATTGACTCCTATGTCACTGGGGACCAATAAAAATATTTTTAGGAAGTTTTTTTGGGTAGCAACTAAATTAGCAAAATGGACCAACTATAGGAAACAATTATAGCAGCAGTGTTCTGGTAAATGTTTAACAACCAGCTCTCAAAAAAATTATATAAAGAACACATTCTTAAGGTGAATCTGCATTATCAGCATTTTCTCTATCTTCTGAAGTCTAGGCAATCAACAAAACAATAAATCAAGTCCTGATCTATACCATTTATCCACTTCCAAGCTGCAAAAGTTCATACTGAAAATTTAACAATTGGCTCTCTGGGGCCATTTTGAGCTGTCTTCCATACAGCCCTGAACAGCAGGCTCACTCGATTGAATCAGAACATTATAATAACATAATACAGATTAAGATGAGATTCTAACTGTTTACCTTTAACTTGCTTTTGATACTTCTGTAGTTCTGGGGCCAGGAATCCACTGAAAGGTCCAAGACATCCAACTGCATTGACAATAGCATCCTCGTCATCTAGGTCATTCTCTTCATCACTGTCTCTGTTCTTGCCAAGCCGTCTGTGAGAGAGTTTAAAAAAAAAAAGAGTGGTTGATTTTTTAAAGAACATATTCTTAACTGGTTGCCAATTTCCCTGTACAAATCATACTTGCAAATGTGTCTGATTGCTTTGGAAACTACATCAAGTCATCACAATTTGCTCTGATATTCTCTCTTGAATCTACATGGGAAGTCTATGGGACAGGAGGTGGTTTCTGATTCTCCATGTGGTGTTATCCCTGTAATATTGTCATTAATGAATCTTTCATTAGTAATATTCAATTCAGTTCAACAAAGATTTATTAAGTGTCTACAATATGCGAGGCACTGTGTTAGTCACTATAGATAGAAAGATTAAAAAACCAAAACAGTCCCCCACTTCAAGGAGCTCACATTCTATATGAAGGCAATAACATCTTCAGTCCTTAAGAAAACACACTTACACTTCAGTTCCCAGGAGCCAAGATGGTGGGTAAGAGGTAAGTTGCTCTTACTCTCCCGTAATGACCTCTGAAAACCCAGAAAATATCACCCAAGGAAAAACCCTGGAACAGCTGAACCAGAAGAAAAACGAAGTGCAGCAGCGCTATGGCCCAGGTCGCTTGAGAGATTAATGGGAAAGGCCCCTCTTGACCTGGGGTAAGGGAAGCAATACAGAACAGGAGGTATCCCAGCAAGCTAGCAGAAAGCCCTACCTCAGCACACCAGGAGGCGATCCTGAAACACAGGTGGTGGAGCAGGTAAACAGCAACACCTGGACCCCCCAGTGCCTCAGTGAGAGTGAGGGGAACCGGGGGAAACCGGCTCAGAAAACTACCAGGTGCCTCGGCATTCTGTGTATCACCAAGAAAACACACTTACCCAGAAACCGAAGTGGGTTTGACTGTGGCTGGGAACGGAGTGATGTTGTAGGTATATTTCTCCCTTAGCTCTGCCAATTGAGGGAAAGGGAACTGGGCCATGGAATAAACAGTCTGAAAAAGAGAAATGATACTTTGGCAATGTTACTTAAGTGGTTCTTCGTTGGTTCTAATGAGTTGTTGAATCTCTGTGGAACCTTTGCAAGAAGAGACGCTTCTCATGTGAAGGGTGGGGGAAAAAATCTTTTATTTTTGTAGGTAAGTAGTCATTTTCATATGTCATTTTTTCATATGAAACCAGTTATTTTTCATAGGAAAGCAGTCATTTTCACAGATTTAGAGCCTAGAGGTCTGGACTCAACCAGGACTCAAACTTATATCTCCTGGACTCCCGTGTTCTTTCCCCTACAGTATGCTGATGAAAAATAGGGGTTCACAAAGCCCTCCATAGTGCCCAGACATCCCCACCACACAGAAGGCATAACTGTGCTTCTGTGACAGTCACTGCTTTTCTCTAATTTGGGCAAGAGGGATGGGGTGGGGCAACTTAAAATAGACATCTAAAATCAGAGTTTGGGGTAAACATTAAGTCTGGCGGATGATCTTGTGATTGAGCAAATACAGGGATTTGGGGGGTTTTCCCAAACATGTCACCTTTTCCCAAGGTTGTGAATGAGTTTTGAGGGAAGTTGTTAATTGCTCATTTCAAAAGAGAAAAAAGTGCAAGAAATAAAAAAGGTGGAAATCATGAGCTGTTAGTGAAATGTCTAAATATATATTTAAAGAAACCACTTGTGTTTTTCTCCCCAGACAGAGTACTGAATTCTCCATCACTGAAAGGGTTCAAGTGGGAGCTAGATGAGATTGAAAAATGGAAAAATGTCAATATCTAGGAAGGACAGCCGATGATTCTCTTTCCATTGGGAGCATGTATCTATTTCAGCAATGACGGCCACTAAAACCAAGTACCAAAATAAGGCAAATTCAGAACAGTCCTTCAAAAATCCCTGTATTGGCACAAAGTGTCAAAAGAATATGTTCAAAATTAATGAAGCGTATTCAATTGCATTGCTCTCATAGAAAATTTTATTTATACTGATGAATGATCAGTTTCGTGATCATTGTTCTCACCAATCTCAACTTTTAATTGTAATCCTTTTTAGTTTCCTTTTCTGAGACCACTACCAATATTGTTTACCAAGCATTTCTGCACACAATGGCCTTGTGATAGGGGCAACTAGGTGGTGCAGTGGATAGAGCACTAGCCCTGGATTCAGGAGGACCTGAGTTCAAATCCAGTCTCAGACACATAACACTTACTAGCTGTGTGACCCTGGGTAAGTCACGTAACCCCATTGCCTAACCCCCCCAAAAAAATGGCCTTGTGATGTCATTGAACACATCCATGCCTGGAGGATAGGGTAGGTCAATATTATAGCTGATCTTTGTTGATAAGAGAGGAAAAAAAAACTAGAAGCTATAAAGCAGATGGCAAGAATTAAAACATTAAGGGCTGATATAAAGAGAATGCAAGGGATGTGGTTGTCAAGGACTTGTGTTGTTCTATAATTTAATGTTCCAATTCTAGCCAGAAAATAAAATATGGCTACAATACTGCATCTACCAACTCCTTCAGCCCATGACTTAAGCTTTCTAAACCCAGAGGATACAGATGTTCTCCAGATAACTCTCCTGATTCCTATGCAGGACAACTCAAACCAAAGATATCTGACAGACTAGAAAAGGGCCAGCTCTGGGTAGGTTTCCTTTTTAATCAGCTCAGATCTTCTGGCTTCTTTATCACATCTTTTAAACTTCCAAGTCAGTATAAGATGGGGATTAATTGATTCATCACCCTACCCCACTTAAATAATAAGATAGCCAATCAATAAATATCACTCATAGGCCATAGACTATGAGTATGAAAAGTCTTTGCAAACCATTTAATGAAAGGAAATTATACCAGACAGGAAATCTATCTCAAATGGCTGAGAAATTTGCTCAGACTCGCTGAGTTATGAATAAAGCATGAAATTAGGGAGTTCCAGGAAGTGGTGAACCAGAAGAGAGAACAATCCAGATTCTCAACTGACAATCTTGGGGAGAAGTATACCAGTGGGGCTCAAGCCAGTGCCATTATAGAATTACTTCTGACTTCCCAGGGGTATCCCCAGAACCCCTTGAGGAAAATTAAGCCTTGCTTAGGTTCCTGAGACTCAGATTTTCACATAGGAGAATGGGATAAGGATACTCAGAGCTTATACTGGCTACATAAGAAAACAAAGTATATGACTGAAATTACCTCATTTTTTCTCAGAACAATTATCTCCAAGAAAATGATGAGACACAGAGAAGTTTTAAATGGTTTGCCCATGGACATATCCAGGGCCAGAAGCTGGATCTCTTGCTTCCTAACCCAATATTTTTCCTTTATGCCATATGTCTTCTCCAATATGTTGTCTCCTCATTAATTTATACTATATCTATTGCCTCTGTGGCTCGTGTCATATTATTTACTCTGAACATTCTCATTTCTTTCATGTTTGTCTAATGCTAGACAGTATCTGTATAGTGTTTAATATTCTCTGGCATAGCCCAACAGCCACAAGGCAGATAACTTTTGAAAAAAATTAAAAACTACTAAATGCTTCCCAATTTGGAAAACATTCTCATTCCCAAAGGTTGTATATCTTTATAATAAAAAAAAGTGATCACATCCTGGTACTTTGATGACTGTTTATGTCAGTTGCTTCCTGTGGAATGGTACTAGGCAGTCAATGTAATGTATTCTAGATTTTACCAATTATCTCAGAGCCAAAGTATCATTGAATCTTGAAGTGGGACAATGTCTCAGAGGCTGCCTAGGCCACTCCCAATGCAGAGATTCCTACCAAAGCATCACTGATAAATGCCCAGCCTGCCTCTACCTCAACATTTTGATGAAGAGAAGTTCACTATTTTGTAAAGCATCCTGTTCTCTTGTTAGACAACTTTCATTTTTAGGAAGTTTCTTTTTATTGAGCCAAGTTTCTCTCTGTTTTTGGAATTCTGCCCTCTGGGGCCAAAAACAAGTCCAATCCTACTTTCTCACATTCCAGCCCTTCAAATATCTGAAGCTGCAATCTGTGTTCCTAGGAATTATCTCTCTTCCAGACCAAACATCACCGATTCCCTTGACTTTCCTCGTATAAATTTGAGACCCCTTCACTATGCTAGGTACCCTCCTCTGGAGGCTCTCTAGCATGTCAATGTCTTTCTAAAATGTGGCACAAAAAACTGTATATAATACTCTTGGTGCGGTGCAAACATGACTTAATACAGGGTGACAATTCCTTCCCTTAATTGGACATTATATTTCTACTTGGACTGGACCCCTCATTTCAAGGAAAGAAAGTCCCTCTACCAACACAGACCAACAGCTGTTCTTCAACTTAAAAATTTCTTGGGACACTGGAAGGTTGAGCAACTTACCCAAGTTTATACATCCAATATGTATCAAAGGCATTACGAACCCAAGTCTTCCTGACTCTGAGGCTGCCTTTCTAGCAACTATACTGAGAAAGTCACGTAAACACTGCTTGCCTAAGTTTCTTCATCTATTTAATGGAGATGATAATAATAATAGCACCTATCTCCCAAGATTGTTGTGAGGATCAAATGAGTTAATAATTGTAAAGCACTTAGCGCTTTACAAAATAGTACAAAATAGTGTAAAGCACCATATAAATGTTAGCTATTATCATTATTATTATTATTATTATCGTACCACACTGTCACTTATATATATATATATATGCATATATATATATATATACACAAATGATCAGTAATACAAGCATATTCTACCAAATGAAATTAACTGGTTTCACAAAAATACATTATTATTTCCCAGAGATATCTCAAACTCAACCTGTCCAAATTAGTACTCATTATTCTCTCTCTTCCACCCCCACCCCCACCCCAAAGCTACTTCTCTTCCTAGTTTCCCTATTACCATCAAAGGTACCACCATCCTTGTGATTTGTCAGGTTCTCGGTGTTATCCTAGACTCCTTCCTTTCCCTCATCCCACATGTCTAAGCAGTTGTCCAGTTGTGTTGATTCTGCCACTACCATATCCTTCTCATCTGACCCCTTCTCATCACTCATATAGCCACCACTTCAGAACAGGTTCTCATCCCCTCTCACCTGGACTATTGAAATCATTCCTTAATTGGTCTCCCTGCTTCATTGGTCTTATTTGGTCTCTCACCACACAGCCACCAAAGTGATTTTCCTAAAGCACAAGTCTAATCATGTTACCCTTCCTCAGCCAGGTCTGTATCCAAAAGAAATTTTTAAAAAAGGAAAAGGATCTATACATACAAACAAATTTATAGCAGCTCTTTTAATGGTAGCAAAGAATTGGAAATTGATGGGGCATCCACCAATTGGGGAATGGCTGAACAAGTTATTGTATATGATTGTGATAAAAAACTATTGTCCTATAAGAAATCACAAGCAGGATGTTCTCAGAAAAACCTACATGAACTGATGCAAAGTGAAGTGAGTAGAACCAAGAGAACACTTTATACATTCAAAGCAATATTATATGATGATCAACTGTGAATGACTTAGCTATTTTCAGCAATAAAATGATACAAGACAATCCTGAAGGACATGATGAAAAATGCTATCCATCTCCAGAGAAAGAACTGATGGAGTCTGAATGCATATTGGAACATACCTTTTCTTTACTTTCTTTCTTTTTCTTTTTTTTTTTTGGTCTGTATCTTCTTCTACAACATGACTAACATGGAAATGTTTTTCATGACTACGTATGTATAACTTATATCAAATTGTTTGCCTCCTTAATAAGGGGGGAAGGGAAAGGCAGGGAGGGAAAGAATTTGGAACTCAAAAATTTTTTTAAAACAAATGTTAAAAACTGTTTTTACACGTAATTGGGGAAAAATAAAATATTAACTATAAAATAGGTAGATAGATAGACAGACAGACAGACAGGCAGATAAACTCCAGTGGCTTACTGTTTGCCTCTAGGAGAAAATATAAACTCATTTGTTTGGCACCTAGTTTGCCCCAACCTACTTTCCCCACTCTCTAGTCCAACTGAACTGGCTATCCTACAGTTCCTACCACACAATGCAACTAGAAGGATCAAGAAACAGTCCCTATTGGAGGTGGCACATGAGCTAAGTGTTGAATAAAGCCAAGAACTCTAGAAGATGGAGATAAGGAGGGACTGTGCTCCAGCTATGGGGACAGCCTGTTCAGAGGCATACAAGTGGGAGAGAGAATGCCAACTTGGCAAAGTAAAACAGGTTGACTACATTTTAAACTTTTTCAACCACGTGTGTATTTCAACCACAATAACCTCTACATAGGCATGGATTTATATCCTTGAGGATTTGTTTCTATTTAGGATGGTACTTTAAAAACAAAAAGCTCTCTATAAAACACAAAAGAGAAACATCCAATGAAACAAATCTGGTCCTCTCTCCTTCTCTCCTTACTCACCTGCATGAGTTCATTGCTTTCAATTAGATTGTCCTCCAGCATCTCCTGAGTCAATCTTCCCATGGTACTGTAGAATTCATCAGCTGTTTCACAACATTCTATCTGTCTGTATTAAAAAGAAATTTTTAAGCTCTTTCTGAAGTCCATGTCATGGAATTAAATAAACATCACCAGGATATATACTTCATGCCATTGTCCTCCATTAAGAGCCAACAAACACAATAATGAACAAAATGAACAAAAATCATGACCGGCAGTTCCACTTGTTCCCTTTTGAAGCGCCGTGCGTTATAAGAACTGACATTGTGACATAAGATTTGTGAGACGCTTTGCAAACCTGGTCTTACTTTATCTTCACAACAACCCTGTAAAGTAGGTATACCTAGAAAAACTATTATCTCCTTTTGTAAGTGAGGAAACTGAGGCTCAGGGAGCTTAGTAAATGTCAAAAGTGGGATTCAAATCCCAACTCCCAATCCAGCATTCCATCTGCTGTACCACATTGCTGCATATGCCAAAGGAGCTGCTGTTGATCTAAAATACCACCCAAAACTGGTTGCTAAATTTGCCTCCTGCGGACACAATGCTGTTCTCAATCCAAGAATTGCTGTTGTTAATAGATGGTTTCATTGAGAATGTAGAAACTAAACCATAGAGTAAGTAAAAAATGAAAACTCACTATTTCAATGTATCTCAAAAGTCTTAGCTTAATTTAATTAAGTTTTCATAGTTTAAAACTGCAATAAGACTTTTGGGATATACTATATTTTTGTGATTTTATATAACTCAGCAGGGCTTCATTGAAGGTAAAATTTTCTCCATTCTCCTCAAAGAACTTCTTATAAGGTACTAGATTCTGGTGCAATTTAAAATCTCCTCCTTCCAAAAAGAAGAGAATTCCTTGAGACCAAGGATCCTGGGTATTTCTATTTCGTACAGCTAGACTGAAGAGCTGATTTTGGTGGTCTTGTTTCTTTTTCTGGGTAGAGGAAGACATAATTACTTAGCCACCATTAACAGAACTATGTATTTTGAGGGGCAACTCTATTTTTTCCCTAATGTAGTGATGTACAGTGAATCCCCTTATGACCAGAAACACACTTTTTCAAGATAGGTAAGAAAAAAGTGTAATAAAAAAAATGGACCCTTTGTGGATTTGCCAATCATGTTCTCCTAGTGAGTTGCAAGTTAGAGGGATACAAATTTAATAAAAATAGATAAAGACATTAAAAAAGATATTACTATGTAGCTGCAGTTTATACTGCTGAACTCTGTAGTAATGCTCATAAGTAGCCCTTCCATTATAACTATATCAAAAATACATAGACATATAGTTTATATTATATTCTTTATAGATATTTCGGTTTTAATATCATTTATTTTAACAATGAGCTATGTCTAAATTAAGTACTTGCATGAGATCTTATCTTTGTGGGCTGATTGACAGTTGGAAATAAAATTTATATTATCTCTTTTCTTCTTCTTTCATCATTAACATCTGAATATGTAAACAAATATCAATGATTAAACACATTCTTGCTATTTTAATTCCTTGCAACCTCTCCATTGGAGGTCACTCCTTTTCCTACCCCAATCAGCACCTCCCACAGTGCCTGGCATATAGTAGACATCTAACAAATGCCCATGACTGATTTTCTTGCTGGGCCAGGAAGGGGGATTAGCATATTCTTTGCTCCCCAATGCTACACCAATCATACGCCACTATTCTTTAGAAACCTCTTTTATCTTGAAATATTTGCAATGTATTTCTCTACTCTTTCTCCATCCTTATTGTTGTCACCTACAGACCTCCAGGTCACTCTCCCAACTTTCTCAATGACTTTACCAACTAACTCACAGGCTTTCTCTCTATCTCATTCCTAGACAATACCCTAGTGGACTTGATCATTCACATTGATTACCACACCTTCCAACCATGGTTCCTCAATTACAATGACTTCATTCTTCACCTCAATTTAGTCATACACCTTGGACCTCATCATTTTATGAAACAGTCCCCACTGAAAAATCCCCGTCTTCAAATGTCACTGTCTGATCATAACCTCATATCCTCTACCTCTTTCACTTGTGCTAAACCAGCTTTTTCTATCCACTGGGACTTCCAGTCCCCACTCTATTGTCCCATCAATCTCTCCTGTTCTGGTTTCACTTACTTCCGTGGTCATTATTGAATCTGAATCCACTTTAGTGATTCACTAGCTACCATCCTAGAATCTTTCACTTTCCACTCGTGCTGTCACCACGCTTTAATGGCCATCCACATTTGATTTCTCTAATTTTGCTCCTACACTGCCAAATTCCAATTTTATCTAGGACATAACCTCAAGACCCCACGGCTACTTAGCATTTCTTATACCCTGCTTCTATTGGCCCCTTATATCATCCCTTATAACAACTGCTGCAAACTTTTTCCATTCTTCCTCAAGTCATCGAATATACCCTCACTACCCAAATTTAAAATAGAAGATTTAGCTTACTACTCCACTAAGAATTTTGAGACCATCCAATTGTGCTCCCTCAATTATCCTCCCCCACTTCCCAAAATTTTTAAACCTCATTACATCTTTTCCTCCTTTCCTCTAGCCATAGAGGAAGAGATGACCTTACTCCTCAATAAGGCTAATGCAAAGCCTTTAATCCCATCCTTTGCATCTTTGATACCATTTCTCTTTCCTCCTCTAGAACTTACTCTAAAAATCATGCCCCCTTTTAAAAATATTTTCAGTCTCCTCCTCTATCCTTCTTCCTTTCCATCTCCCTAAAAACACTTCAGGTTTCCAATATTAAAAAAGTCTATCTTTGATCCTTCTAACCCCTCTAACTACTGTTCCCCCTTCACTGTAAAATTTCTTGGGGGGAAAAAATAAAATTGTCCATGAGCACTGTTTCTACTTCCTTATCACTTAAAATCTCCTTAAACTTTTATTATTTAATTTCTGTGCCCCTCCCCATTCTACTGAAACTATTCTCTCAAAGGTCACCCAAAATCTCTCTAAATGTCAAATGTAATTTTTCAAGCCTCCTCTCTTTACCCACTCTCTGCAACCTTTCACATGGTCAACAATCCCCTCATGCTTAACGGTTTCTCTTTCTTTGATTTCATATTCTTCTTGCTCCCTAATTTCTTCTTTTGTCCTCTTTCACGGTTTCTTACTTTCTGATATTTTAATAAGAAATGCTTTCCTAGGTTCTGTCTTGAGCTTTTTTTTTTTACTTTTCTCTATACTTTCTTCCTTGGAAATATCATTTACTCCCAGAGCTTCAACCTCTAAGCTGAAGACTAAAATCTATATATACAACCCTGATCTCTCTTCTGAGCCCCAGACTCAGACTCACATTTTCAGCTTTATACAGGACACTTTCACCTCTGCATAAATCAGAACCTCAAACTCACCAAGGCCAAAATAATCCATCTTCTCCTTTTGACTTTTTTTTCTCATTTATGCCAGTGACATTACTGTTCACTCAATCTTCCATGTTTGAAACTGGTGTTATCCCTTTCTCCTCTCTCACTTCAGACAGTTACCTCCAAACTACTAACCTCTATAATATCTCTCAAATCTATCCCTTCCTCTCTATTCCCAATGCTACCATCCTTTACTATTATACTAGCCTTACAGCAGGTCTTTCTACCTCCATCCTCTCCCCTCTCCAATCTACTGTTTCCAAATTCATATTCTTTATGGTTAGATAAAATCATGTCATTCTTCTGATCAAAATCCTTTAGTGGCTCTTCATTGCTTCAAATTCCTCTACCTTGTATTCAATACCCTTTATAATACTCCTCTACCTTTCCAATTTTATCTATCTATTCCTTCCTACAAATTCTACCCACCAGCTAAACTAGATTACTCTGTGCCTGTTAAATAAGGACTATACTTTCCTACCTTCTCGTCTTTGCCCACATTATTTCCTACACCTGGGTGTTTCTCCCTTCCTATCACTCTTTTAAAGTCCAAAATCAAATGCTACATTCTCCATGAAACCTTCCCTGAGTTCCCTTCCCCCACTAGGTAGAAATGACCTCCCCCCATTCCAACCTGAGACTTCACAAAGTACTTTGATTTACACTTTTTAAATGGACTTATTATATACCATTTTGCACTTATATTTATTTGGGCAATTGGAAATTAACTGAAAATTAAAAATAGGAACTAGGCAAATTACATTGACACTATAGTTATTTTATCCAAAAATTTAATCAATGGAACTGAACTGCTACGAGGACACTAAAAGAGCCTCAAAAGCAACTTAGAAAAAACATCTGAATTATATGCCAAATAGAGAGATGACTGCCAAAGAACACCAGGTTAAAAAACTCATTTGTGAAATCTGACAAAGGATGATTAACAATTACAAGCAGTGTTGTTTATAAAGAAATGAGAAGCAATGATGTATAAAACCACACCATAAAGAAAGCTTGGCAAGATATCCAAATAAACAAAGAAATCCCAAAAGTATTTATGGGTGAAAATGGAAGGAGGAATGCAAACTGAATAAAAATAAAAAATATTTGCAAAAATCATTATAACGAAATGGTTTTTTTTCCCATCGAGGACAGTATAACCACCATAGTTAGACCCTAACATCATAGTACAGACGAGACAGAAATGGCACTAAAGGGACCAAAACTGGGGAAAAGCAGCCAGATTTGGATCAAGTACATACAGAGAGGGGAGCCATCCTGGATGCAACGTAATTGTGAAGTCATTGGGAGACCAATATACAAGTTATCTAAAAGAGGAGCAGATACCAAACCCATGGAAAAAATCTCAGACCTTATTAACACCAAAAAAAATGTGACCAAGAAGATATCAATAACTACCAACCTTTATTCCTACTCTCCCATCTATACAAAATCTTTATGAGACTTATCTTTTCACAAATAGAGGGCATCTTTCGTGAAGTTATTAATAGGGGAAAAGCAGGCTTTCACGAGCAACATTCAACAACGGATTGCATAATTAACTGAAAGATATAGAGGATATAGGATCCTATTATGCTTATTGTTACCTATAAAAAGCGTTTGATTTGGTAGAATAAAATGCTGCTTTATAGGCAATTTTACAACAAAGTTTCAAAGTCATTCAAGATTCCTTGGAAGATGTAACAATAAAAAAAGCCCAGTTCAATGATCCTCTGACAAACATGAGAAGGCAAACTACAGTGAGGTGTATATTCACCAAGTCAAAGAGGGGCTTGTCTGTGGATAGTGAGACCCTCCAGGTGCTTCTCTTTGCATAGGGCATTATGCTGATTACATCAAGCCCCAGAACATTACAGCGACTCCCAAGAGAAGTGGTTTAATCAAAATCCACACAACAAAGACTAAGCAGATCACCAGTTAATTACTCTTGTGCCATGGATCCCTTTGGCAATCTGGTGAAGCCAATGGACCCCTTTTCAGAATAGTGATCTTATCTGCATAAAATAAACTACAAAGGATTGCAAAGGAAGCTAATTACATCAAAACACAGTTATCAAGATTTTTTTTAAATGTTTATAGATCCCAGGTTAAGAGCTCCAGAAGCAGCTGGAGAATCAATTGTCCAGATTATAATGTGCATTAGGTGGACAGCCTATAGAGTTTGTTGATCAGTATGTCTGTCATTCAAAAGTATTTAAGTACTTAATATAATCCTAGCACCTGGGTAGGCACTGGGTATACTTTTTTTAAACCCTCATGTGCCTCCCTGCTACATTTCTATCTAGCCCACTCTGTGTGCCCATACAACCAATGACAAACACCAAAAACAGGGCTAAGAGCTGTCATCAAGGGAATTGTATGCTAGGAAGAAAGAGAAGAGGGGTAGGTATATGATAAGAACAAGTGATAAGAGGTGGATAGCCAGCCTCCATTGTTGGCCATGCAATGTCAGGAGAAAGATCAGAGATTTAGACTTGAGATTTCATTGATATAGGGAACTCCCAAAGAGGAAACTCCCTGTACCAAGATAGATTAGCATCTATTCTCTAATTTATAGACTCAGAGAGTTGGGGGGGGGGCCTGAGTGGTTAAGTGACTTATTCAGAGTCACATAGGGAGTATGTATCAAAAAAAAGACTCGAACCCAGGTCTTTCTGACTCCAAGGCTGGTCTTCTATCCTTAATAATGCACTATCTAAGGGCAGCTAGGTGGCACAGTGGATAGAGCACCAGCCCTGGAGTCAGGAAGACCTGAGTTCACATCTGGCCTCAGACCAAACACTTGATACTTACTAGCTGTGTAACCCTGGGCAAGTCACTTAACCCCAATTGCCTTAAAAAAAAAAAGTCAAAAAAAATATAATGCACTCTCTTATGATCCAAATAAATATGAAAAAATACATTAGACTAAGAGGTTAATAGTACAGTTATCTAATTCCAAATTAAAATGCCTCTGAGGCTTAGGCTTGTATTAAATTACTCAGCCTCATTAAGGATCATTTAGCTGGAGAGGTGTAACTGGAAAAAAGGTATTTACAAGGAGAAAATTAAAAAAGCAAATCAATACCACTGCTAAATCCCATACAGGTGAGCCAATACATGCAGCTGAAAAAAGTGTCATACCTTGAAACAAAGGCAATAGGAACATTGGCTTTTTCTAAAAAGTGTAAAACAACAAATTAAATCATAAAGAAGAAACCTCAAGCGAGCATTTGGTCTGCCTACTGCCTTCAGGTACATAAAGCATTATTTCTTTATAGATGAAACAAAGAGGTAAATAAATTCTGCAAGGTCAACAGCTATGGGGAGAGGGAAGGGGGAGAAAGATTAGATGACAGACATACTGACTTCTAGTGCAATGCTGTTTGCACCATAAATCTTGAATTGGTAAATGGTAGTTGATATTTTCCTTGCCGCTTCCCCACAGAAGTGTTCCAAATACAGTGAGGGAAAAGGCTTATCTTAGGCAATTTAGCAAAACCAAGATATCAACCATGTCTAACATCCAACAGTATGTAAGACAGAACAGAAATTCTCAAGTGGCAGAGTTCAGACAGATTTTTCACAATCTTACCTGACATCCAACAAAGTAGGTAATACATGCAGCATTAGAAAGTCTAGTACCATTCTTTATTATTATTAAAAGGACAAGTAGGAACATAAAGTGGGAAGATAATCAGATTGGATCTCTTTCATAGCTATGCGTAAGAGGAAAATTCTTAACTAAACAAGGGACAGGGGTGATCAAAAAAGATGAAATCAAGCATTTTGGTTACCCAAAATTGAAAAGTTTTTTCAAAAACAATTAATGCAAACTAGGACAAGTAGGGAAATTGTGGATGGGGGGAAGGGAGAGGGAATTTTACATCAAATATTTCTGATAAAGGTCTGATAACCAAGATACATATGGAACTGACATAAATATATAAGACCAAGAACCATTCCTTGAAAGATATAAAGATAACAAACCATTAATTACCCTATGAAGGACTGCTTCAAATTACTAATAATTAAAGATAGGCAAATCAAAACAACTCTGAGGTTTCAACTCACACCCAGCAAATTAGCAAGGATGATAAAGATAGGTACTAATCAATACTAGAGGAAAACAGGCACATTAATACACTGTAGGTAGAGCTATGAAATTGTCCAACTACTCTGGAAAGCAATGTGGAAATATGTTTTGGACTAGCTAGATAATCAAACGGAGAGAACACTGGACTTGGAGTTGGAAAAACATGAGTTCAAATTCTGCCTGAGACACTTACTAGCAAGCTGTAAGTCATTTTACCTAGCAAGTTGTTTTATTCATCTGCAAAATAGGGATGATAATAGATAGTGCCTACCTCATAGAGCTGTTGTGAGGACCGAATGAAATAATTTCTGGAAAGCACTTTGAAAACTTTAAAGTGCTACATAAATGCTGGTTATTATTAAAATTGTTAAATATCTAAGATTTCTATGCCCTTTGACCCAGACATCTCACCATTAAGATCATACCCCAAAGAAGTCAAAGACAGAAAGAAAAGTCCCATATGCACCAAAATATTCAAAGCAATACTGACGGTAGCAAAGAACTGGAAACAAAGTAGATGACTGAACAAATCTTAGTACATGAGCATAACAGAATATTACAGCACCATAAGAAATTATTATTGACTACAGTAGTCTATTTCCTCCTCAATGCCACTTAATAGTAGTCTTGAATTTCAATATTATGTCAATTCTTGATTATATAAGAATGGAAAACAGGGATAGAACAGAATATCAAAGCTGGAAGGAACCTTACAGATCCCCTAATCCAAATCCCTCATTTTACAGATGAAAACGGGAACTGTATTTTATCTAAACTTTGCCAAAGGAGTAATATGTTTACATTTAATTTAAAAATGCCACTTTATCCAAAAGTTCCTCCTCCTCTACTTTCCCCTAACTACCATCTAATACAGAATCTTGAGAATCAGACTCTACCAAAAGCTAATTGGGAGAGAGGAGAATCCTAGAGACTTAAATAATCCATTAAAAATATAACCAGCCCTGAATAATCAAGAATTGACTGTATCTGAAAAGACTAACGCCACTGAATAAGGCTTAGACTTTCCTCAGTGTTTCACATGTCTATACTTATCATTGACAAATTATAGCATAAGTATGACTTAAGTTTCTTAATTCCTATTACAGAGCAAAACAAAAATCACTTACTCTCCTAATTTTGCCCAGATTGCCAGGGATACCCTCAGTATGATTTCAGAACCTTCAAAGAAGACAGAATCCCATATCTTTAAAACTGTATGATTAGGGAGGCAGGTAGCAAAGAGGGTCAGGAACCACTGCATGGTGAAGACATTTGTAAGTGGGGGCTCATATCCACCTGGAAGAGAACAAATACATTGAGTCTCTTCTGGTTTGATAGCTTAAAGAATATCCAGACACATGTACTTTCTACATCTCTATCTCTTTCCAAAGTTGTAATTTTTTTTTTTGCTCCTGCCAAATTTCTAAAATGAAATCACTAAATCATAGAATCTTAGTGGTGGAAGTAACCTAGTTCAAACTTCTACCTTTTATATGAAACTTCTCCCAACTGTAGCCTAAAAAAACAAATTTCTTTTACCAGGTCCCCTCCAAACCAAAATGGAAAATTGAGTCAAATGACCTAGAAGAGAAAGTTTCAGTGATACCAAATAACCACCAAGATTTTTTAGTGCAAATATATAGAGAGATATATACACACCTGTGCATATATGTACATACACACACACACATATCCCTTAGAATTATTTTTTTAATTCTTAAATTTTCCTTCAGATTTTAATCTGAAGAGTAGATATCCTGTTTTCAATCATAATTCTAAAATGAGCAGAGGTTAACAATTGTTTAAAAAGCCCAACCCTCTTCCTGAGGCATAGAAGAGGTACTGTCTGTGTGTTAAATGACTTGGGGGGAAGGGGAGACATACATGCTAGTTGCCAACTCTCCTGGCAGATAGTTCATTCTGCTGTTGGCACTTGTACTATGGATTGTTGGTGAAGGCTATATAGTGGTCATTTTCAAATTGGAAGAATCTATCTTTGCTTGATGGTCTTCCTTCACAAACCATCTAGTTTCTGATTAAGGGAGAACTCAGAAAGGCTCTCTCAGACCAACATTCATTCCACAACCCACAGTTAAATAAAAATAAATATATTATGAATTAATACCTGCAGTCAAGAGAAAGAGATATTTCGATTTCAAGGCATTTCCATTGTAACTTGGTCGTAAAATATTCTTTGTCATCTCTGTGGCTTTTATAAGTACATTGCTGTTTACTGTTCAGTTGTGTCTAACTCTTTGTGACCCCATGGACCATACTGTCTAGGGGGTTTTCTTGGCAAAGATACTGGAGTGGTTTGCCATTTCCTTCTCCAATGGATTAAGGCAAACTTGCTGTTTGTCTTTCGTTCTCAAAGAGGACCATGACATCAGGGAGGTGATGCCATGACATGCAAGTGAATTGGATTTAAGTGAGGGAGGGCTGTGCAAAGTCACCAGCCTCACTTTCATCTCTGGAGCCATCTGGGTCCAGGGGCCAGATATGGACAACCAGAGATGGCCCAGGATGCAGTAGGGGACTTTGGCCTTTTCAAGCTAAGGTCTTTAACAGTTAAGCCTTTATTTTTATTAAGCCTTTTTTTTTTCATTAAGGCAAACAGTGGTTAAGTGACTTTCCCAGGGTCACATAGCTAGTTAGTGTCTGAGGCCAGATTTTAACTCAGGTCTTCTTGACCCAGAGCTCTATCCACTAAGCCTGCCTCCCATACAAAACAGTAATTCATACTTAATGAAAATGAATAACAGCTACTCTAAGTTTGGTGTCAATTTGGACAGCAAAAAGTTTCACAATTAATAAAAAATGAATTTAAAAGCTATATCATTGCAAGAATGAAGCCAATGACACCACTGTTTCTCAGGTTTGCTGAGTTGTTTGTTTGTTTTTAACACAGCATCTCATCTCCATTTGTGAGTTTGCTATTTAAAATTCAATAAATGACATGCTTGTTAAGTGCCCACTATGTACCAGGGATTGCATTAGGCATTAGACAGACAAAGGCAAAAATAAAAATAGTGCTTCCCATAAAGGAATCTACATTCTACTGGGGAATACAACATATAGATAGAATAATAAATACAAGATAATTTAATGTTGGGGTGAAATCTGCACACACAGACCCAAAAGGCCCACATAAGGGCAGTTGTTCTAATGAACCTGGCCAATTCAATCAGAGGGACAAGACATTTGGCACATCACGGTCTTGGCCTTTACCTCCTCCTTCCCTGTTTGAAGCTCTCTGAAGAGTATCCAGGTGCTGAGATAATTCAGGAAGTTTCATTCTCAAGAGATCTCTGAAGACTGCCATATCCACAGATAATGCCCGAAGATTATTAACAAAGTAGCTTTCTGGAAGTACCTTATCAATGAGGTAAATCATGATCTGAAGAAAAATAAAAAAGAACTTGATTATCAGACATCATAGCATCTCTTCTTGTTCAAAGGAAATGAAAATATTCCAGTTGCAATGTCACCGCTAGCCAAAGTCATGTATTCTTTTGTTGGATGATACTTCAATTCCAAATGCTCTACATTTTGCAGGGGTGACTTACATATACAATAACCATAATTACAATAATACATAAATACAATAACAATAATTATCCAGATAATTAAAATCAAACTAATGTGCTGCTCTCTCAGCTCTTTATACAGGCCACTGAATCTGAACTCACATGAAAATTAGCTACAATTTATAAAACACTCTGCTCCACTTTGACTAAAAGAAAGGACCACATGTTCCTCTCTCAGTAGCCCTTGCAGAAAGCTGTTTTTTCTGACACTACCCCCAAGATAGGTTTCAAGATTTACTCACCCAACTATAACAGACTCTGGATTTTAGTACCACTGTGCATAACTATTTCCCCTCCACTGTGGTTTGAAATGGGATTTCATCTTTGTTACCAACCAATTTGGTGTTTATAAAGCTTAGTCGATCCCTTTCTGGATATCTTTTTTTTTTAATCTGAACTTCATCAAGACAAGATACAGACTTCTCACATGAGTGATTTCAACCTTAACTTCTTTTGAAACACCCTCCATCATATTTTATAAGATATAAGCAATTTCTAGCAAGTCCTAGCAGAAACCCTCAGTACCCTATAATTTTGCCTTTTCTGTCACTTATTGTCTCCTTTGCACTTACCTATACATTATGATTCATTAAATATAAACACATAGTGTTTTGGGGGAAAAAGGAGGGTTGCAAAGAGTTTCCCATTTATTATCTCACTTAATGCTCACAACCTTTGAAAATTATACAGATATGTACACATAAGGAAACAGAGTCAGAGAAACTGTCAAACACCTCCTAAGTGTCTGAAGCTGACGTGAATCCATTCTGACTTCATGTTAGGCATTTTATTTACTATGATACATAAGGATTCATACAATTCTGTTTTCCTTAAAAACAAATAATAACCAAAGATAAACAGAAACACCAACTTGCTAAGAGACTAAATTCTCACCATTGGAGTGATTATTTTTAATATGACAAATGGGTAAGAGGAGTGGAAAAGTATAATGAAAGCACTGCTAAAATGAACATATGTCCTTGGAAATAGGAAAACAGGCTCAGATTCTTATAATCTAGCCAATGCTCAGATTTTTAGAATCTGGCCCACTTGCATTAGCGATACAAATGCTTAGACTCCTTAAGAGTCTGGCCAATATGGCAGATCTTTAATAAACTTTGTGTTTGGCTGGAAAAAAAAGACCTTGAAAGGGTCTCTTCTTTAGCATTTTCCATTAGAACAGATTAAGCCATTATAGAAAGTTACTGTCCCCTTGAAAGGGACAAAGGCAACTGTCCCTAGTGACGTGAAATAAAGGAAGAGCAAATTTCAGTGAAAACAACATGGTGGTGAAAAGCCTTGTTTAGCTGGACTGAAGCCTGGAACGACTTAGAGGAAAACCAGCCTAAATGGGATCCTCCTGCAGAGAATTTAGGATCTAGGCTGGAAGGAGGGATATGAAGGTACCAGGATAAGAATACAAGCCCCAGTTGATAGGACTCCAGGGAAGCCATTGGGTGATATAGATAAACTTTGACTAGCATCATCCCTGAGCATTACAAAAACTTTTGAACACACGAAACTTACAGAATCATCAATTTAGAGCTGAATGGACCTTAAAGATAATCTAGTCTAATCCCTTCATTTTACAGATGAGTAAACTGAGGCTTAGAGAGGTTAAATAATTGGCTCAGGGTCATACAACTATTAAGTGTAAAAGGTGGTCTCCCTGGGTTCAGGAAGACTCATTTTCCTGAATTCAAATCTGGCCTTAGACTAACTGTGTGACTCCGGGCAATTCACTTAACCCTGTCTGATTCCATTTCCTCCTCTGCAAAATGAGCTGAAGAAGGAAATGGCAAACCACTCCAGTATCTCTGCCAAGAAAACCCCAAATGGGGTCATGGAGAGTCAAACACAACTGAAACAACTGAACAACTTCCTGGTTTCAAGTCCAATTAAATGTATTATATCACAGTGCCTTTCAGTTTTGCTGCCTTCTAAACAGCAACTTCCATGCTAACTGCTGGGTCTTTATGGTTTTAGATTTATGCTTTGCAGACAGGAACACCTGGATTCAAGTTCACCTCCCTGTAACACATACTAGCTGTGTGACCTTGGACAAGGCACTTTAGTCACAGAGCACTTAGAGAGTCTACACGACTTAAGTCTCAGAGGAGGTGTTGAGTTGCACTGGTAGAGAGAGTTTCATTACCAGGAATTCCTTATACCAATATATACATACATACATACATACATATGTATATGTATACATGTATATTTATTATATGTGATGCATATATACACATACAGTTATTTATCTATAAGATACATAGAGATATATATAAAATTCAAGGCGTTGTTTGGTTTCCCAACTTGATTCTCCTCATTCTTGCAATAAAATGGAATTTCTTACTTAGATATCTTAAGGGAGAATATGATGATAACTTTAGAAGTACTATACTTGGTTGGCACACTTATTGTCACACTGAACCATAAAGTCTTAATATATGAACTATGGTATTAATGTTAAATAAAGATTTTTATGAAGGAAATTGACCCCAATTGTTCCTAGCAGTTACGCCAAAAATACACAGTAACACAAAGCTGAAATCTTGCACCAGCAGCTGAAAAAAAATTAAGTTGGTACTCATCTAATAAACCTACCTTTACCTGGCAACTGCTATAAGAAGATAAATATACATTTTAAAAGCAAAGTAAGCATTTGCTAAAAAAAAAAAAAAACACACACAAAAAAACACAACTATATGCATCCACTTTTTTTCCTCAGAAGTCTTATTGCAAGAATAATTTCCAAACTGTCTGTCTCTAGTCACAAGGTCCATTTAGACCTAAGGACTTAGAACATTTTCTCTCAGTGTACGTCATGCATTTCCTTTGGGAGAAAAAAGTAAAAATATACTCAGTTTCTCAAATTTACCTAGTTCATCTCTACATATGTAAGTTTGGGTCTTCAAATCATAGAACCCCAAATTTAGAACTGTAAGGAGTCTTCGAGGTCATCTAGTCCAACCTCCAGTTTTAACAGAGAAGGAAACTATGTCCCAGAGAAGTTAAGTGATTTTCTCAAGGGCTCATAAGTAGTCTATGAACCCAGGTGCTCTGACTCCATTCTAAGTTCCCACCCACACCAGGCTGCTGAATAGCATAGCATAGATAACATTTCCCAAAATGATTGGAACCAGGAATGTGTTGGGTTTAACAGCTGGTTCTCTGAGAAAACACACACACACACACACACACACGACACACTTTTAAGTTTAATCTGTATTATTAACATTCTTTCCATCACCCCTAGACAATCAAGAAAACAGTAAGTCAAGTTGCAGCTTGTAGAGCTTGGAGATTTCCAAGGTCACACTGAAAATTTAACAATCCCTTGCAATTTGAGTAAGCCCCAGCAAACCTCTGATTGAAACACACTTTCTTATTTTTTTTCCATTGGAACTTATTTTCTGCTCCCTCTCACCCTCAGACATACTATTTTGCCTTGTTCTAAACCTCTTCTACCCCTTAAAATGAGCAGCTCTCATTTTGCCGGCACAGAAACATGCCCATTGATAAAAAAAAAATATAAATTGATAAACAAAAGAGGATCTGAATATGCATAACTGCTAAATTAAAATGTTTTAAACTCAGATATCTGACTTGCTACTATTCCATTTTTTTTAATAAGTAAAGGAAATTACTTCCAAGTTCTTTCTTTAAATAGTCAGAGAAAACAAGATGTTTTACTCATGTAACCTGAATATAGATCTAAATGTTAGGTAATCAATTGTTAACACCAATATGACATGTATGGTGCTAGCAGGAATATGTGGTAACTTTACACATCATATTAATTCAGAATTGAAAATATCACTAGGCTATTGGCTTTCATCTAAGGCTATTATTCCCAGTGACTACTTTTTGAGTAAGCATCCCTCATATCATAAAAAACAAATGTCAAAATCAGAAGAATCTTGAAAGATTTGACCATTCATTAGCAAACCCATGAGAATATAAATAAGCAGATGAATCAATGATTGAACGAATGAACAAGTAAATAAATAAATAAACCAGGAAGCTGCCATCTCTACGTCTGAAGTGTTTTTTCATGAACAAACTACACTGCCAATGAATTACTAAGAACATCAATACACCCAAATTGCTAGAGCTACTTCTACACTGTGACCAAAAAACTGCTCAAAATCTTCTCAGCATTCTTTCAAACAAATGCAACATTTGATTTTCAATAACTAAAAAAAAAAATTACAAGATGTTTCTTCTGTACACAGACATTCACTTCCAAGCTTTTTTTCTAGGCAAATTTAACCCCTCCATCCCATCCAAAAAGAAAAAAAAAATTCACACCAAAGGTTCTAGGAAATCCAACCAGATTTTGTCACGTACTATTCCTTTATTCTCTCAAGGATGGATTTCCCCATAGGTAGATAGACTCACTTTCAGTGCATCTCCTTCATTGCCTTCCATCACTTCTAAGATAAGCGCAGCCAGGATGTTAAAGCCTTGGCAATACCCAACAGACTTGTTCCATCGGGCATAGGCTAGCAGAACTCTCTTTAATACCACTCTGTCTTGTTCTGCCTCCTGGCCACAGTATGAGCTGCAGCCTGTTCGATGAAGATCCTAAAAGGTGGGAGGGAAAGGGAAGGGAGAGAACAGGGCAGACAATTTAACATAATCTTACAGAAAGTTTCTCCAAAAGCTATTAGTCTGCCAAAATGTTTACCAAGCTACCAAACTGTGGCCAGCTACTTCCACATTTAGCCGGATTTCAGCAATTAGATAGATAGATAGATAGATAGATAGATAGATAGATAGATAGATAGATAGACAGACAGACAGACAGATAGATAGATACTCTATATCCCACAAAAAACCTTGACATTACTGTGGCTCTATTCCACTTTCACAGTTTGACTTCATTTAGGCATAATCTAATTTATTTTGAAGTATGTATTTATATATAAACTTTTACACATTATAATTGATTTTTCCCTTAATTTAAAAAAATCTTTTGAATTTGATTGATCTTAACAAACATGAACATTCCATTACAAAGAACAGAACTAAAAAATTGAATATAAAATCATGACTCTTGGTTAGGTATAGCTTGGCTTTATTTTTTTTTGTTTTTGTTTTTGTTAGGCAATGGGATTAAGTGACTTGCCCAAGGTCACACAGCTTGTAAGTGTGATGTGTCTGAGGCCAGATTTGAACTCAGGTCCATCCTGAATCCAGGGCCGGTGCTCTATCCACTGTGCCACTTAGCTGCCCCATGGTTTTATTTTTAAGTATGTAATAAATTTAATATGGTAGTAGCTTCACTGTCCTACTTAGCTATGTCTCCTTCTGAACCTCCTTTTTCTCTTGTTTATTTTTTAAATTATTCATTTATGCTCTTTTCTTCTGAGTTTTTGAGATTTTTTTTTGGAGGAGGGTTGGCTACCACTATCATTATCTCTCTATTACTCTTCTCTCTGCCTCTGTTTCCATCACCATCAAATAAAAGGCTTCCTTGGAACCAATAAGAATATTCAAGCAAATCAAATTTACACATTGGGTGCATCATTTTCTTTGACGGAATTATCTACTCTTTCTATGATTTACTCCTTGACTCACACCATCTTTAGTATTAAAGCATTTAGCCTTCACTTAAGCTTGAATCTTCTCTTCAAATGCTCTTTCCTGATTATAATTTTAATTTTGTTGGAATGTCAGTAAAGGAGGTATTTAACATTTCTGCTTTTCTACAGTTGCTTATGGGGATTTCATATCCTAGTGTCAGGTCAGTTTTTATGAAAGTACTATAAACAGATGTAAAATATGTTTACATCTTTCTGTTCCCATTTATTAATTACCATAAACATTAATTTTCATAAACAACTTTTCTAAAATTCTATTCACCTGTTTCTTGTTTTGTTGGTGGTGGTGAATTTGTCTTATTCTGAATAAGGCACACTGATATCTGCAATAATTTTACTGTCTATTTCTTCCTTTAATTCAATTAAGTTTTCTTCCAAATACATAAATGGTATACCATTTGGTTTATGTTTATTAAATATTGATGCTACTTATTTATTCATAATGCCTTTAAGCATAACGTATTTTATCTTAAATACAAGATCTATTTTTACTGTTAGTTTGTCTAAGATCATGACTGTGTTTTATTTTTTAAATTCACCTGAAGCATATCTGCTTCAGACCCTCATCTTAACTCAGCAACAGCAGAAATAGGCTAGAGCCAAGCTGTCTCTGTCTCCTGCTGGGACTCTCAATGTTCAGAGGCATGTACTACATCATCTGAGTTCTTTCACAGTGATCTATGGAGGCTAACACTGTCCCTGACTGCTGCTCAGGCAGGCAATGGATGAGATTCCTACAGTTTCAGGCCCAAACTATACCAGAGTTGGCTTCCCCCTCCTCTGTTGTGTCCCAACTCAAATGGCCTTTGAGCTTCTGGCCCCTTCCCTTCAATATTACTATTATAAGTGTTAGAAGAATAAAAGAATGAATGAGAAAGCATTTGTCAAGCACTTACTATGTGCAAAGCACTTTGCTAAATACTAGATATACAAATAGAAAACCAACATGATGCCATGCCATCAAGGAGCACATATTCTGACGGGAAGAGACAACAAAATATAGAAGGCTTAGGTTGCAAGTGAAATGGAAAGGCCCAGTGGACCTGACAGTCCAGTAGCAAAGCAGATAGTAAAGTACATAAAGCCCTATCCGTTTCTAATGTTGAAGCGTGAGATAGGGCCAAGGACTCTGGAGGCAAGAACTTTTCTTTCTGCTACTTTGGCAAAGCCTGGCACATAGTAGATACTGAAAAAATCTTTGTTGATTGATTGATTGATCGATCGGTGGGAGCAGCAGCACCCACAGAGGCAGTTGACAGCTCAGTATTCACAAGAGTTGCTCCCTTAAATAATGGCTGTGAGGCCTGGGCTGGAAACAGAGCCAAAGATCTGCAGAGTATTGCTATGACCAGGGCTCTTTGGATTATTTGCCCAACACTGGAAGTTGGCTGGCTGGCTGGTGGTGGTGGTGGTGGTGGTGGTAAAGGCCAGGATGTTAAGCCCCAACATTACAGGAGTTGTTGCTTCCTAAACAATGGCTATAAAAGGATAGGCAGGCTAAATGAAGCACTGGTAATCTTTGATATAGATATTGATCTGTATACTTTTACTGCTATGCTTTGGACAAATTTTTTGGATAGGATGGATATTAACATTTTTTTCCTTTATACTAAATTTATACTAAAGTTAGGTACCAGTCGTCCAAATAAGCAATTGTTCTAAAAGACCATAAGAATAGGATGGGAAATAGAGTCTTCATGTTAGGTGCCCTTTTGGAGAGAAAAAGGTATTATGTTCACTATCAATTGAGTACAGATGGAAGAAATATTTGCTTCATGTTTTATTTTTAATTTATTTTAATGAAGGTAATATTTATGATTGTTACTATGTAGAGAGTGTGTTTTCATGAAATTATTCAGGAACTGAGACAGTTTTATGCATACATTCTAGCACCAAAATTCTTTTGTAAAATGAGTAATACTTTAACTTATAAGTCGAGCAAAAAGAAAGCACCTTATCTCTGCCCTGCAAGCTTTCTAGCTTCAAAGCACAGTTGAATCATGCATAATGTATATAGTTCTTTTTTAATCACACAATTCAATGTAAATGTCATCAATGATTAATTTAGGATCCTGTCCAACACAGAACAAATATTCCTCTAGACACAAGTGTGCCAGCAAATGTACGTCAGAGAGTGGTAGATTTATTTCCACAGTTACTGCCTACTTATGAGAAAGCATATACATATGTGCATGTGTGTGTATGTGTATCAAAGCTATATTCAACTTCTAGAGCCAAAAGACCCCAACAAAAACATTAATATTAATTCCAACATAACCTTGAATTCAAAGATTACCTAATTCTTACAGTTTTAGTGTGCTGCCTTTCATATGCAAAGATTATGCTTTTGGCCCACCCATTATCAGAAGAAAATATTTGTTGTAGTTCAGTCATTTCAGTCATGTCCGACTCTTCGTGACATTTGGAGTTTTCTTGGCAAAAATACTGGAGTGATTTGCCATTTCCTTCTCCAGCTTATTTTACAGATGAAAAAACTGAGGCAAACAGGCCTAAGTGACTTGTTCAGGGTCACACAGCTAGTAAGCGTCCAAAGTCACATTAGAACTCCCATCTTCCTGACTCCAGACTCAGTACTCTATACTTTGCACCACCTAACAGCTCCTAAAGAAATATTACTTGAATTTTTTTTTCAGTATTGAATATATGGTTGGATTTATGCTGATCTACTCAACCACACCCTTCCAGCTGGCCCTTCCTATACCCACATTGCTTCCCAGCTCCTGGGAATCAATTACCTTTCTTTTTCCAGCATAGGTAACCAGGGGAACATTAAACTAAATCTAAAGTTAACTGGTCCAACCAAAATCCAACCAATGACCTTGGCTGTACTAGCACCATACTATGCTAACTATAGTTAACTATACTAACTCAGTCAGACAACTACAGTTGCCTAAACATCTATCCTAGACCATTTAAGTCTAATATTCTATTCAATAACCTTATCAGCATACTTCAAACTTTTTAAAAGTAAAAATAATCTAATGAAAGCCACATCACTTTAAAGTAACTCTCCTTTGAAACTTTCAATGCTGGATTTCACAGTCAGTCAAAAATCTACTTGGTGAACACATTGTGGGGATAAAGGATTGTCAAACAAGCCATCCTCCTCTCCAGAAAGAAAATAATTTCACTATAAGTTGGTGATAATCCATAAGGACTTCTTATTAACAGTAGCATTTTCAAAGACTAGGTATAACCGGTGTTTTATATAAGAAATGCTAGCAACAAAGAAATTTTTAGGCTACACAGAAATGAAGGAGCAACTCATGAGGCATTCACCCACAAAGTCATCGAATCTGTTCAGGCAAAGGGTTGAGTCATCTATTTTACTACTGCCATTAGGACAGTTCACTATATGTTAGGGCAATTACCTTTACTATCTGAATTCCCATGGAATCATCATCAGGGTTACTTCTTTCATTGAAAGTGAAGCGCATGGTTTTATCCCAGTCAATGGCTATACTGTGCAAGTAGTGGTCTGCCAAGGTCAACCAAACCTAGGAAAAATACAATATATCCAAGTAAAATATGCAGTTTCTACTTTTACTCCTGAATATCACACAAGGACTTTCTACTAGATTCTTCATTTTGTTTACCTTAGGGAGGTGAGATATAACTGAAACCTGCATTATTATCAGAACTCTTTCAAAGTATGTAGGTACCTCATTTGGTTTTACTAGCCCTAAAAAATCATCTAAATTTGGGTTAGTCATTCAGTCAATAAAATACTTATTATGTGCCAGGTCCTGTGTCAAATACCAGGGATACAAAAGGGGACAAAAGACAGTTTCTGCCCTAAAGGAGATCACAATATAATGTAGGAGAAAACAAGCAAACATATACAAACAAGCTATAAGTAGGGATAATGGGAAATAATTAAAAGAAAGAACGCATTAGAATTAAGAGGTACTGGGAAGGGCTTCCTGTAGCTGGGGCTCTGAGGAAGCCAGAAAAGTCAGTAGACAGAGATAAGGGAGGGGAACATTCCAGGCCCAAGGGACAGATAGAGAGAAACCCAGAGCCCAGAGATAGAACGTCTTGTTTGGGCAACAACAAAGGAGGCCAGTGTCACTGAATCAAAGAGTATGTGCTAGGGATTCATTCCCAGAGAAGCGGGTCTAATGCAAATGGAAAGTTTTCTATGTTTGGACCATAATATACATGTAACTAAAATTACAGAACATGAGAGTTGGGAGAAACCTTAACGATCACAAGCTCCTCATTACAGATGAGGAAACCAAGGATGATAGTGGATATGCAATGTCCAGAGGGCAAAGTGAGTTTAGAGGCAGTACCAGGGCTAGAATTCACATTCTAAATCCATACTCTTTTATCCACACTGTCCTCACCACTATCTCCTGACAGAAAGTTTTAACATCAACAACTGACAGAAAGTACTAGATTTTTTTCCCCTTAGACTCCCTGAGCAATTGAAATTTTTATTTTTCTCCATATACAATTTTCACGGTTATTCCTTTCATTGTAAACTTCTACATGTTCAAATTTTAAGTATTAAAGTTAAATTTGTAACAAGCTAATTCTCCACATATAGTGAGTATGAACTGGCTACCAGTAATGACATATACAAGAAGTGGAATGAATGACATCATTAAGGACATATATAGTTCGAAGAGGAGGTAAGCCAGTCATATAATGAGAGGGAAGGATAATAAATGATTAGCCGAAATGTTACAATGGTATCCACAAAATATTAAAAAACCTAGAGGAAGGCTTCCAGGGTGATGTATAAATTCCCTTTGAGGATTTATGGAAGGACAAGAAAAAGAATCAAACAGGAATAAAAGGTAAACATGGGATTGAGGACTGTACAAGTATAAGAAATAACTACATCAGCAAGATCATGGATTGATCAATGTAAAATGTTCCAAAAGAATTAGTTAGTCAACTGAAGAGTGTGTCTTCTGGCAGCAGAGAAGAGAGCCAGCTGCAAACTCAAAAGAGAGTTAGCTTGTTGTGGTGGTGATGGTGGTGGTGTTTGTCCATTCTCAAAGAGGACCATGACATCAGGGAGATGATGACACGACTTGTAATTGACTTTGATTTGAGTGAGGGAGGGCTGTGCAAGGTCACCAGCCTCACTTTCTCCTCCAGAGCCATCTGGGTCCAGTGGCCAGATACTCATCAGGACAACTGGTGAAGGCTCAGGATGCAATAGGGGACCCTGATCCTTTTAAACTAAGGGTTTTTTATTTCAGGTTCTCACTTACAGAGAGGCAATGCCCATTCCATGAATAGGCTTCTTTAAGAAGTGAGTCAAGGGATGGCCCCTTTAATTAAAAAAAAAAATCAAATCAAAGTGGGAGGTGAAGACCCTCAAAATTAGCCCTAGTAGCTGGGAGTTGAAATGAGGATATCAATAAGGAGAAAGGACATCATGCTAAGGGCATAAGTTGCCTTGGCCAGATGTGTATCTCACTGTCAGAGTATTTTGTTTGTGTCCATTCTTCCTGCTAATGCTGTGTGCATTTGTGAGAGAGTGTGTTCCAGGTTTATGGGAGAAATGTCTTGTTATTACCATTTTTATGGTGCCATCCCAATGAATCACTTTGTTTTGAGTTTGTTTTTTTAAAAAAAGTTCCAAAAGAACCTTTTCAGTTATTACTATGGGAACTCAGATTATCATGGATATATAAGGGAGAAAGTCTTAAGCTGCTGAGCTAGAATTTGCTTTTGGAAATCTTAGGAATTTCAAAATCCCCTTTGATAAAGGAACATGGAAGAGGTAGCTAGGTGGCACAGTAGATATAGCACTGGCCCTGGAGTCAGGAGGACCTGAGTTCAAATCCGGCCTCAGACAGTACTAGATTTACTTACACTTACTGGCTGTGTGACCCTGGGCAAGTCACTTAACCCCATTACCTAACCAAAAAAAAAAAAGAAAAAGGAACATAGTGATCATTTTTTTAAACTATCTACATACCTTTCTTCTCCATTCCTTTGGTATTCCAGTTGAAAGTCTGGCTACAGCCTTGAGAGCATCATACCACTAGAAACAGGGGAGATTAGAAGAACATCAAAATGGATCCACCACAGAAACATATATGTGTACAGACAATGTGTGTATGTATGTGTATTTATGTTATATGCAAGGAAATAGTTGTCTTCTGTTTTATCAGTGAATAATTTTACAACTGGTCACTTACAAGAAGGACATAAAGACAGGAAAATTTATAAACATAAAATTTGGCTATTTATATGTTTATCTGGTCACTTCAACTTTACTGACAAACTGAATCGCTGGTACATATATGTATATATGCAAAGAGAGACAAAGGCAGAAACAACAACACAGAAAAAAGAGACAGGGACAAAAACAGAGGGAGAAACAGAGAGAGACAGAGAAAAATAGAAAGAACAATAGAGAAAGACAAACAGAGACATAGAGAGAAAGCAGATACTCAAAACTATATTGACTTTTGGGATGTGTGTGTGTATACATACATAAACACCAAGTATCTAAAAATTCTTAATGCAGTTCTAGGCAATAAAGCTATTAAAGCTTGAAACTGCACAAGACATTTGGGACTTTTGTATATGTGAGTGGTAACTAATAGTCTAACTTTGACATGTCCCTGCATATAGCTTCAGATACTCTGAAAAAAAAGATCATAATACTTCATAAACAAACATCTTACAATATTACCTGCTGAAAGCCATTTTGACCTAAAGATGGCTCAAGAGTGAACTTCAACTTCGTGTCAACCCCTAGAAGAAAAATACATGCTTTATATTATTTATGGAAGGAGACATCAGAGCTCATTGAAAAGATTTCAAATGGAAATTAAACTCATGCTACCAAATAATCATCAAATGAGCAAGTAATAGTATCACTTTCATCTAAATTATCTCATCAATTTTACTATAATTTTATGTAAAATATCTCATCAATGCCCACTGAAGCTACCTGGCATTAGAAGTAAAAAAGAGAAGAACAATTTTGATGATTAAAACAGGACAGTATTCACAGGCTTTGCCAACATAATTTTTTATATTAATTTATTTTTAGTTTTCAACATTCACTTCCATAAGCTTTTGAGTTTTAAATTTTCTTCCCTTCCCTCCTCACCTTCCTCCCCAAGATGGCATGCAATCTGATATAGGTTCTACATATACATTCCTATTAAATATATTTTCACATTATTGAACAACTCAATTTTTTTAAAGCCTGGCATAGAACAACAAATGTATAAATTCTAGCCGAGTTGTGAAAAGCTGCAGTGATACTATCCTCCCCTCTGTGAAATGTTCTATTACATCATGTTATTCTAACATGCTAAAAAAAAAACAATCTGCATTGATGACCTTTTATTTTCAGATAATTAAATAATCGTTGCAGGTAAAAAGCTCAAAGGACCAAATTTTAATTTCAGCTGATGGATGAACTTTGATATAGCATTCTACCTCAGTTCCTATAACTAAGGAATAGAGATAATACAATGGAATAAGGTGTGGGTGTTAAATTTGTAATATTTGTTTAGAACTTTGAATATGTAAATCCTACACTAAAGCATGTATTACTGTGATTGAAATGAATTTCTAAAGTACAACTTAAGGAAAAGTTTATTAAAATATATTATCAAATCTGAAGGCTGTTTTATAGTCCATTTACTTCTAGATGTAAAATCAATTTGCTAACAATTTAGTAGTGCTCCATTTTAATTAGTTTTTAAAAGACACTCCATTTGGGAATTTGAAGATAAAATGGAAAAAGATTTATTGATCTATGTATTTAATGTTAACAGCAATGTTCAGTTTGGCAAATTACAAACCAATTAAGCAGTGACATTTTGAAATTCTGAACTACTGATTGCCATGTATTTTTGGGAAGACCTTTTCAACAACTTTCCACATTGGCTTCAGTAATTTGTGGCTAGGGATGGCTCTTTTGATTTATTAGAGATCCTCCCTCAGTGGCCTATCTTAAGCAAAAAAAAAAAAGATATGAATATTTACATAGATGAATAATAAGGGAAAAACACATCAGATTTATCCCAGGTCCAGTATGGTTCCACCTTACAGCCTGGGAGTATTTGTGTGTATAAATCAAAGAATCATAAAGCTGGAAGCAATCTGAGAGTCCACTTAATCCAACCTACATCTAAACAAAAATACCTTCTAACAATATGCTTCACAAGCATCCAGCCTTTATTTGAAGGCTTCTAAGAAGGGGGAATGAACTACCCTCTAAGGAAGACTATTTCACTTTTGGGTACTTCAATTGTTCAGAAGTTTTGCCTTACATCAAGCTCAAATTTCAACTTTGCAATAAGATTTTCTCAAGTGGTTTGTGTAGAATTCTACAGACTACATTGGCATTCATTTTTCAAGACATCTATGCTAGTCATGCTACAGGCCAGGGTAGGTTCTTAACCTGGGGTCTTTTTTATTTTTAATTTGACAACTGCATTTCAATATAATTACTCTTCTTTGTAACCCTATTGTTTTATTTTATATATTTAAAAACATTATTCTGAGAAGGGGTCCATAAACTTCACTAGATTGCCAAGTTGGTCCATGATACAAAAAAAAAGGTTAAGGAGTCTTGCTTTACATAAGGAGAAAGAACGCTGGGCTTAGGGTCAGGAGACTTACGTTAGAGAAATACACACGCGCACACACATGCACACACACACACACACACACACACATACATACATGCACACCCCACTTATAGGATCATAGATCATGGTAAAAAGGACTTCAGTGACCATCTAGCCCAATCATTTTACACTGAGGAAACTAAGCCCAGTATTTTATTATAAATCAGTAATTTATTCAATGTCACAGAGGTCAGGTCAGAGGCAGAAACAGATTTGAACCCAGGCCCTCTGTCTCCACAGTCAATGCTCTTTTTATTATACAACACTGCCTCCTCTTACTGCCTATGTGACTCTGGGAATTACATTTAACATCTCTTATATCACATCTATAAAATGAGAGAACTGTACCATATGGCCTCACTTAGGTACTTTCCAGCTCTAAAAAAGTGTGTTTCTATGCTTACAGATCAGTTCTGAAAGATTCAGTGAGTACTATACTGAAGGAGATCATGAAATTTTCTTCTTTAAAAAGTTGTTCTTCTTTTAAAATGTTGTTTTAGTTGGATGGCTTCTCATCCATTATGAATGGCTAGAATTTGATTCTACCTAAGTCATGGATAACCAGTCTTCCCAAAATCCTACTCAAACAGAATTCTAAGGCACAATGTTTGGTGCTGTCCAAACCCTGGGGGCTGAATGGAGAAGTGTTTGCTCTAGCCATTCACATTATGAAGATGAAGAAATACAAGTCTCAAATTGCTCCTCTTACTAACTCCATTGAGACACAGATTCTTTTTGTACCTCTGACATATGTTGTCCTTAATATTTTGGAGAAGCGACAGGAGCATTGCTAGATAAATGTATTTTTGCCAGAAAAAAAAATGTTTATTTCCTTTTTACACTGAAATCAAGTGAGGAATAGAAGTCACTACAATTAAAACCCAAACAGTTTTCTCCCATGCCAAAAAAAAAAATGGGTCAGAGAGGGTTTAGCTGAGAAGCTACAGTTCACAGTCTGCTGAAATCAGGTCACTTTCACCTTTTTTCCCTCCTCCTAGAAGAATAAAAGGATTTCACCTGGTAATCTCTGCTGTTTCTTCCTGAGAAAAAAACCAAAATGCTTACCTTTAATGAAAGAAGAAAGTTTTTAAAATAAATAAATAAATAGGGGAACATTTACACACCAATATGCTTGGAAAGAGAAACAAAGAAACCATGAGGTTTGGAAAGAGCTCTTCCTCCTTCACTGTAATTCAGACATATAGTTTACATCGCTCTGTATCTGGTGTTGGCGTTAACACTATGTCCACAACTAAGAAAGTGCCCTCAAGCAAGGATTCTCTGAGATTTTGGAGAGACATACATGCTGGTGTGTTTCAACGATCAACAGCTTAATGAGGCTGGACTCCAGGGGCAGGTGATTGGAAATTCACTTTCTGGTGTCCACCTGCCACCCACAGCCTACCATGAGCTTAGCCCAGGGTAGGTTGGGTGTTCTAAAGAAGGAGGAGCTCTGCCACCCTGAATTGTGCATCTCCAGGAAGCACGTATTGTATGCACATTGTTTACATACACACCCCACTTGGGGAAAAGGCTTAGTAGGGATGTAGCCAGAATAACTCTACAACTCCTGTTGAGCTTCCCAAGACCCCTTACAAAGGACCTCCTGCCCATATAGGCTAGTCCCCTGAATGAGAGGAGAAGACAGACTAGTCTTATCAGGCACTCACATACCTCCCAAAGATTCTCTTCCTACCTGTCCTATAGCACCAAACCGGAGCCTAAATCTCCCTCTCTTTCTTCCCCCAAGCTGCCTGGACCCCGAACTCCTGCCCCTTGGGACTCCAGGTGTCTATAAAGCAGAAGGAGCAAAGTAGGGGCTCGAGTTTCTAAGCTTAGAAACAAATCAACAGTCTTCCTTGTCACCTACATTGAGACTAGACGTGCCAAGCCCAGGGTAATCAAGTAGGGGAAAGAGAGGAGGTACAGGAGGCGGAAACCCAGCCAGTTCAGTGGCCCGGTCAGGCACCTATCTATGGTAGGCACCCATCTTTCTCACTCATGAGGCTGGTGAATGGGCTAGACAGCCACTCCTGTCCAGGCCTTTGTGCACTGTCCCCCAACCCGCCTGTGGTCAAGCCCTGCACCTTCTCTCCCCCAGACAGGGATTCAGTCTCTCCAAGGCTGCAACATCCTAAATGCTCCCACCCAGCTTCTGTTCCAGGCTACCAGTGAAGGCAAAGGAAGGGTCAAAGACCCGTGGGTATCACCCCAGTCTCTACCATGCAGCGCCACTTTCAAACCCAGGGCGCATGGGGGGAGGGAGCCACTAAACAGGTACGGGGAGTGCTTTTCTTCTGAGCAGCAATAAGAGAGCGCTTGGGGCTTCTGGGTGTGTTAGGGAATGCGGGGAGGTGAGGGGATTGGAGTGTCAGAGGCTCTGGCTGAGAAGGGAAAGGGGAGCCAGGGCACGTGAGGGGCACGAGAAGTCCAGGATCCTCACCCGGCTCCAGGGTGCAGAGCAGCCGAGGTGCGGTCCGGGAAATACAGCTCCGTTTCTTCAGCACGTTGCTGAGGATGTTGCCTACGCCTCCCCCGCTCTGCCGTTTGAGGCATCTCCCACCTCGTCTCAAGGAGCCGGTCAGCTTGTCCTGCCTCATCGGGAACCGCCTTGGGCTCCGAGAAGGCTACCATCCACTCCTCTCCCCACCGCTGGCTCTCCTCTCAACTGCCCGGGCCCTGGCAACAAGGAAGTCAAATAGCGGGTTCTTTGCTGGGGAGGAGAAAGCGGCTGTGGCTCAGCGCGCTACCCAGAGGACCCCTTCGAGATAAAGAGGCGATTCAGGGCAGGAGAGCAGGTCTAGAGGCCATGATGAAAGCCGGGAGGCGCCGAGGGAGCTTGGTGAGCAGAGGCCGGAAGACATCTGCAGTGCAGAGACAGCACAGCCGAGGGATGGAAGAGGGCTGGGGGGATGGGGAGGGAGAGAGAGCGAAAGGAGAGGGCTGCTGCTCCCGCCCACAATCCCAGCACCATCAAGCTGAGGAGAGGCAGTTCATTCAATTAGCTCATATATGCCTTGATTAACACATGCCCAGCCTGGCTCAGTCACTACTTCCAGCACCTCGGAGAGTGGGCGAGCTAGGAAGAGCGCAGACGACCCGGAG